GGGAATTTAAACTATCCCACACATTTTACAACCCACATAGATGACTGGCACATTCTTACCCAGTTATAAAGCAGACAAACATTTAGAAAGGCATGATTACAATTTACTTTCTCATGACTTCCTGGCTCTGATCAATTTTTTTTTGGGGGGGGTCCAGTCGTGGGGCCTGAACTCTGGGCCTGGGTGCTGTCCCTCAGCTCTTCAGCTCAAGGCTGGTGCTCTACCACTTGAGCCACAGCATCACTTCCCTCTCTTTTCTTTTTTCTTATGTGGTGCTGAGGAATTGAACCCAGGGCCTCATGCATGCAAGGCAGGTGCTATACCACTGAGCCACCTTCCCAGTCCTTCAATTTTTGAAAGGCCAAACAGGATCTGATACCATCTCTGCCATCCGAGCAGTGGCTTGTAACTGCCTCTGGATGTTTCATCATTGCCAGGGTCCCAGGAGTGTCTTTCTCCATGCTGGGATACACACACCTTGGCATTTTCCTTAATCACTGGACTTGAGCTGGAGAGATGAGCGATAACGCTCAGGCCCTGAGTTCAAGGCTAGCACTCTGCCACTTTGAGCCCCCAAACAACTCTTCTGTTGACCAATTAGAGATAATCTCACAGGGACCTTTCTCTGCCCAGGCTGGCTTTGAACCACAGTTCTCAGATCAACAAGTCTAAACAAAAGGCCATGTTTACTCCAATTAAAAGAAACAAAGATGGTCATTAGAAATAGTTTTTTAAAGCATGGTCTACCTCGAACTTATTAAGGGCCAAAAGTTATATCTGGCAAACTTGTAAGAATCCTTACTCCTTTGTGTGGGCCTGCTGGGAACTGTTACAAAAAAAAACCTATTAGAGCAAACTGAAATAGCAATTAAGCAATTATTTTGGTAATCTATTTTGGTAATCCTAATTTTTCCTTTTTGTACTTTGAGACAAATATTAACAATTTAACTTTCAATTCATCTCCATTTTTTTGCCAGTCCTTGGGCTTTAACTCATGGCATAGGCATTGTCCTTGAGCTTCTTTTGGTCAAGGCTAGCACTGCTTCCTCCTTTTTTTGAATACGTGGTAGTGAGAAATTGAACTCAGGGTTTGATGCATGCTAGGCAAGCACTCTACCACTAAGCAACTTTCGCAGCCCAGCCACATTCCCAGCCCATCCAATCCTAATTTTTTTTAAGTTCAAAGGTTTATTGTTGTTGTTGTTGTTATTATTGTGAAAATACCATATGGAGGGGTTTCAATTACATGGGCAAGGTGATGAGTACATTTGTTGCCTCCTCCTTTGTTTCCCCTTACAATATCTTCCCATCCTCCCCACCCTCCAACCCCCCTGCCCCCGCCATGGGGGAGGGACATACAAAGCAACAAAGAAATCATCTTATAAATATGTTATAAACAATAGCAAGAAAGAAAAACTATTCGAGTCCTTATCTTGGGGTTCATTTAACCTAACATCAGCATATCTGACTGTTTCTGATTGTCTCAGACATGTACTAGTTATTGAATAAGGGAAACCATGGGACCTATGTTTCTTTAGGCCTGGCTTACTTCATTTAATATATTTTTTTCCAAGTCTTTCCATTTCCTAACAAATGAGACAATGTTATTCTTTCTGATAGAGGCATAGAATTCCATTATGCACATATACCACATTTTCTTGATCCATTCATCTACTGAGGGGCAGCTATTGTAAATAATGTTGCAATTAACATAGTTGTGCTGGTAGCTTTAGTATGGCTTTGCTTGTGATCATTCCAGTAAATGCCCAAAAGTGGGATTGCTGGGTCACAGGGGAGGTCTATGTGGAGTCCATGAGGAACTCACTTTAAAATCTTGAAAAAGGAATCAAAACAGAAATTAGAAATTGGAAAAACCTCCCATGCTCCTAGATTGGAAGGATCAACATAATGAAAATCGCAATACTTCCCAAGGCTATCTACAAATTCAATGTGATACCTATCAATATTCCAACCTCATTCTTCAGGAAAATAAAAGAGGCACTCCAAAAATTCATATGGAACAATAAAAGACCCCGAATAGCAAAAGCGATCCTTAACACAAAGAACACTGCTAGAGGAATATCAATACCAAATTTCAAACTCTACTACAAAGCTGTAGAAATCAAAACAGCTTGGTACTGGCTCAAGAACAGATCTCAGGACCCATGGAATAGAATTGAAAACCAAGAAATGAACCCACATACCTATACCTATGTAATCTTCGATAAGAGGGCTAAAAAATAGAATGAAAGACAGCCTCTTCAGTAAATGGTGTTGGCAAAATTGGTTAACTACTTATAGAAAACTAAAGCTAGATCTTTATATATCACCCTGCATCAGAATCAACTCCAAATGGATCAAAGACCACAGAGTCAAAGCAGACACTCTGAAAACATTACAGGATGGAATAAGAGAAACCCAGGTCTCCTTGGGACAGGCCAAAATTTTCCTAACAGAGACCTAGAAATACAACATACCAAAGAAAGGTTGGACAAATGGGATTGCATGAAATTGCAGAGCTTCTGCATGGCAAAGTACATAGCTAGCAAGATCAACAGAAAGCCAACGGATTGGGAGAAGATCTTCACTAGCCATATAACGGACAAGGGTCTCATATCTAAAATATACCTGGAACTCAAAAAGTTAAATCCCCCAACAACAAACCTTGAAGAAACAACTGTCCAAGAAATAAGTGGGCTAAAGACTTACCAATCCTAATTTAAGCCTTTTATTAATCTCTGCTTTAACATTTTATACTTTGGTTTTCATTTGTATTTTGAAAACTCCTTTGAAATCTTGAGGATATGTACCACTATTTCCTCTTGGCTACTCATTTTAAAACATATACATTAAAAACTTTTGAACTCAAGTGAACATTTTTTGTTAATGCAAGAATTAATCACCAGTACTGTACCAAGAAGCTAGGCTTAACACCTATATGCCTTTTTTTTTGGTGGGGGGTGTCTGGTTGTGGGCCTGAACTCTGGGCCTGGGCGGTGTCCCTCAGCTCTTCAGCTCAAGGCTAGCGCTGTACCACTTGAGCCACAGTGCCTCTTCTGGTCGTTTCTTTTCTGCTTATGTGGTGCTAAAGAACTGAGCCCGGGCCTCATGCATGCAAGGCAAGTGCTCTACCACTGACCCACATTCCCAGCCCACCTATATGCCTTTTAAAAAAACATATCCAATTGCAGAGTATCAATGAAAGCAAATCATATACTGATAAATTTTCTAACCATATTTTTAAGGCTTTTTCAAAGTTAATACATCCAAGTGGCAGTTTTAGGAATCAGATCATGACATCACTCGTTTTTACCATTATGTTTCCTGTGTCTGTCTGCAAGAGAAAGGGACAGGACAAAGATTGGCCACACAGCCCCTCCTAAGGAATGTGCATGCACCCAACTCTTCAGGGTTAGTTGAACTGCCTTTGTGCCAGCTTGCCCTCTTCTACCATGCGTGGACTCCCCCAGGGCCTGTCCCACCCTGCATGACTGGCTGAGCTGCACGTTTGCCTCTACATCCCTCACCTCAAAAGACAGGTCTTCTATTAGAGTCTAAGTTTTTCCCTTTTTTTTCTTGGACAGAACAGGTAAAGTTTTAGACAGAACAGGTAAACTCTTTGACGGTGTTAAATAAACCTTTATATTTAAATTTCTAATAGTATCCCCAAGTTTTAGCAGAGGGAACTAAATCCCAAACAGCCAATGCCTTTTTGTTGAGTCAGATAACTTGATTACAGTGTAAACAACCTTTGCATTTTAAAATACCAAATTTTAAAATACAGATTTTGATTTGTAAATTAAAGAATTCTTAGAAAGTTTAACTAAACTTTCTGTTTAAAACAATACAATAATCCTTTAAGATATTTGGCATACGAATCTGATGACCTTCCTTAGAGTTTAAACGCTTTTTTTTACACCATGCTGATTTTCATCTTGAACATGTTCCAACATACTCATACAAAACTTAAAGTGCACAAAAATGAAAATCAGTCCAGAATCTTGATCTAAAGATTTAAGATTTGTAAAACAAAGTGCCTTTGCTGAGCTTCATTTACCCAGGGCTTGCTTGTTTAGCAATGCATTTTACCAATTGGCCTTGTGAATACCTTCAGCTGGAAGAAGGCTAGGTGGGAGTCACCTGAAACTGAACTGGCCTATCTTTTATCCAATTTTCTTTTTCGACAAGAGCATTTTACAATTTTTTTAACTGTTCGGACAAGCCAAATGTCCAAACTAGGCTCAAACTGTCTATGCCCTCACCTCCGGCTGCCTCTGCAGGAAAATGCAGCCTGAAGCTTGTAAGGGCCTATGACCTTCCATGCCCACCTCTTGACTGCTGCAACACAGACAAAACAGAGCAGGTCTATGACCAGGCCCAGACAGAGCTGGAACTTTTATTCCCCCAGAGATGTCCAAATGAACAAAAAGAACAGATTCTAATAACTTGAATTATTGTCTGGGTTTTTATTTTTCAGAGAATGGTGAGCTCTGGCGTTTAGGGGACCTGATTTCAGTGACTGAGAGCCCCAAAATAACTCTCTGAACCTAGAAGAGAGGTGTTAGTTTAGAGGAGCTCTCCTGCAGCAATTTTACATTAGGGAGGGCCAATCTACCTGGCAGAGAGTGCCTCCACTGGGGAGAGGCGTATCCCAAACTCCTCAGTGGCTGGGAGTTCTGCTGCATCCCACCTCCCCTTCTGCCCCTTCCACTATACCTGGCTAGGCTTTTCAACTTACCTCTAGAGGCTTTTGAGTTCTAAGTTCCTGCTAGGAACTTCTCTCCACAGCTGTCCCCTAGGGAGTGGCTCTTCTGACACCAGTCCAAAGTCCCTGAGCTCAAGGCCCGGGGTCCTGGATCTCATTTGGGCCTACATCTATTATATCCTGGATCCAAAAGAGACTTCATGAAACCCAGATAAAGGTGCTAGGAACTTTATTATTTTTTTTAAAATCCAAAAGGGTTTCTTGAATGCTGGGGGGGGGGGGGGGGCAGGGGCGGCTAGCTTGGCTCGCCCAGGACGCCGCGCTGGGTGGCCATGCTGCCCAGGATGAAGCCCACGGCCAGGGACACGGTCTGGTCAAAGGAGCCACGCAGCTGCTCCACGTGCTGGTTCCGGGAAAGCAGCTGGTCTTGCAGCAGGCCCAGCATGCCCACGATGTCGCCCAGGTGCGTCAGCGTCTGCAGCAGAGCAGCATTCAGCGACGGTGTGGGGGCGGGCGGCAAGAGGTTGGCGGGGGCCCAGGGCAGCGTGGCACCTGCGGGAGGGAGCACTGGGTCGGCGGGGGCGGCGGCTCTGCCGCCTGCCCGCTGGCCTCTGAGCCTCCGGCCCCGGCCGCCCCTTCCAGCCTCCCGCCCCGATTGCCCTTCCCCCCTCCTCCACCTTCCCCTAGCCCTGCAGTCCCTTCCCCTCTCCTGCCCTGCCGCCTGCCTACCTGGCTCTTCTGGAACCGGCGGGGGCACGGAGGGCGCGGGGCGGCGGCAGCAGGCGCGCCTGTCCTGCTGGTCGTCACCCAGCAACCCCATGAGCTCGCGGATCTGCGCGTCGAAGGGCCCGGGCGGCTGGCCAGTGGCCTTGCAAACCTTGCTCTTGAGGAACTTGTAGCGGCGGCAGCATTGCGCAGGAGTGCGTCGCACCTGCCGCAGGGCGAGCGCGGCCGACACTTGGCGGTAGGTGGGCAGCTTGTGCCGCCACACAGCGGGCCGCAGCAGCTCGGCCAGCAGCAGCTCCGTCTCCCAGGCGCTCCAGGGCTCGTGCTGTGCTGAGCCCGGGGACACGGGCGCGCCGGGCCTGAGGGGCGAGCCGCCCTTGGTCGCCGCCAGGCCCCGCGGTGGGGTCCCCGGCGCGTCCTTGGCCAGTGGCAGCAGCTCGGCCACCAAGTCGGTCGGCGACCGTGGCGCGAGTGGCGGTGGCCGCCGGGGCCGGAGTAGCATCCCGGTGGGCTGCGTGGGCTCCGGGGTTGGGGTGGCACCCGAGGGCCTGCGGGAGCCCCGAGGGTTGCAGGGGCCCGGAGGCTGGGAGACCCAGGGCAGCTGCGGCATCTGTGCTGCCCGCATGCGCTCTGCCGAACTAGGAACTTTATTACCACCACATGGGACCACTTCCTACCACCGGGAAAGTAGGAACAGCCTTGAGCTCAGGGTAGGATGCGTTTTTATAGGGGTAAGTTAGATAGAGTTATATATACAAGCCATGCAAGGCAGGTTTGGCATATTTTTCATTGGTTACAATTAGAACCTTTAAACTAATTTGTTCTTTATGGTAATATCATATGTAATCATTTGTAATAGGCCACTCATAGTGGGACCACTGAGCGGTGGTCTTCAATTGGTGGGCTTAAGGCCTTGTTACCAAGGCAAGCAAACAAGGTTATTGAAACAAAACTTGGCAGAAACATAGAATTGACTCACAGAAGCATAGACAAAACATAATTTTGACTTGGTCCGCATGATCAATACTATCAAAGCTATTGACACTACTTTAGAAATTATTTTATTATAACCTCCTAACAGCTCTTTAAAGCAGCTGGTGATAAGCCTCAGTTGTCAATAGCCTTTTGCAAAGCTGCCAGTTTGGTAAATTGAGGGAGCGATGTTCTTTTGCTTTTTTATCAAGGATGGGGAAAGGACAAAAGCTGACTACTGGTTGGCCTTTGTCTGGGGTTTTTCTTTACCAGGAGGTTTTTGCCCTTTATCAATAATTTTGTTTTGTTTTCTGATTTCACAGTTTTGTACCCATGGCTATTCTTTTCCCAGGGAAAGGGGGTTCAGGGGAGAAAGTAAATTTCTAACAGCAGGAGGGACTGAGGCCAGACAACAGAATTTCTGCCAGTGAATAGTAACTTGGATATTACAGAAAACCAAATATCTGGTTTTTTAATGCATTAAGCTGATCACATTGTAATCAAATTATCTGACTTATCAAAAATGTAAAGGATTATTGTATTATTTTGAAGAAGAACTTTAGTTAATTTTCAAGATTTTGCTAACACCAAAACTTGATGACTTTTCTTGGGAGTTTAAAACAACTCATTTATGTTTTTACATGATGATGACAGGCAGAAATTTACAGGTAGAACAAACTCCAGAGTTCATTTCAGGGATTTCACAGAGCAAGGGCACCTGAGACTGAGGAATGTCTCTCAAGGCCTTCCACTAGCTGCGGCCATGTGGCCTGTCCCCTGACACAGGAGTCAGGTCATGACAGGGGTCGTCCTGTTCAGGCGAGAATAGGATCTCACTGGGGCATCCAGATGAAGTGGGCTGACCCCCTGGACAAAGTCACAGACGCTGACCAGTATCTTAAAAGATCATTTATTCAATTGAGCAGCCAGGGTTAACTCATCTAGGGAATGAGCAGTCCCAAACTCAAATAGCTCAGGGTTTATAAAAGTAAAAAAAAAAAAAAGCATTCTTTTAGAGCAGATTCAAGCAAGGTGGTGTACAGAAGATCTTAGCAGTTATTTTATTTTGCAAGCATGTAAGTCACAAACATTCCTGAAACAATTAAAACCGTAAGTACTCCTGTAACAACTTCTTGACCTAAAGCAACCAGCAGTTCCTAGTTTCGGGGCCAGGTGTTTTGCTTTTTCAAAACTAGTAATTACAGTAGAAGGAACAGCTAGGGGGTAAATAGGCCTAGGTCTTTCCTCATAACTAGTTGTTCCAGTTCAATCCTGCCTTGCATAGTTTGGCCCTATTCTTAAAATTCAATAATTTTGTTCAGTTTCTATTTTCACATTTTACATTCTTTTTTTTGGCGGGGATTGGGTCGGTCATCACACTGCATTGATTAACTCCCTAAATGGCTTGGATCACCAGCCTCTGAGTAGCGTCTAAGCATACCCTAGATGGAAAAGTTCTGCTGGTACCTGAGTAAGTGCATTTAAGGTTTGAAATGTTTATGGTAGGGGAGGGTGATGCTCCCACACCCCCTCAGGTGATAGGCACACCTGGATCCCTGGAGATAGGAGTGGCTACTTGGCTGAGAGGTTGCTGAACCTGTCAGTTCAGTGCCTGGGACTGAGTGTCCTGTGACCCATCCCCCTGGTGGGGGACACCATGCCATGTGTATCTCCATGTTCCTGTCCTGTCTCTCATCTCCTGGCTTGTCTCCAGTCATCATGGTGTCCAATTCAGCTATCCATCAGAGAGCTGAATTTTTGGTTTTTTGTTCTTTCTGCTCCAGCCTATTCCCTAGCTGTGTCAAGTGTATTTGTGGATTGCAGGCCTTCATTATTCAGTTAGCAGTCTGTAGGCAGTGCATTGTCACAAAAACTCCAAGATTCTACCTCTCAAAATGTGGTTTCTCTAAATTCTGATAATTTTCCTTACAACATCTGAGACCCTTTCTGTAGACTTTTCTTCCAAATAAACCTGTGCTAGTGTTTAAGCTACCTCTTTGCCTATCTTCTGTGGCTTTTAGGGGCCTAATAGCTATGTATCTTCTTTTGCTTGTTCTCATTCCTCCAGTGTTAAGATACTAGCTGAAAACTTGAAGTTTAAGGCACAAATGTGGTACAAAGAGCAGTGTTACTCAAAAAGTAATCCCCAAACCCAAACATGTGTAAATATAGAACCTATTAGAAACTCAAAAATGCTCAGCAGCCCCAGCCCCATTGAATCTGAAGCTACATTTAAAATTCCCAAATAAGTTATATGCCCATTACTGTTCAAAAACTAATGCTATAGGCTGGATCTTAAGTGTCCAACTAATGCCTGTGTTTTAAAGGCTCGGCCCTTAGCTTCTTGGAGATGGTGCAAATGAGAATGTAAGACTTAGTGGGAGGTCTTCTGGTTATTTAGGGTGTGTCATGGGAGGTCTTCTGGTTATGTAGGGTGTGTCCTTGAAGTGAGAAATGGGACCCCAGATTTTTCTTAACCATGAAGTGAATAGTTTTCTTACACCATACACCCATTATGTCATCCACATCCTCCACATAGCAGGCCTTAACACAGTAGGTCTGCCCAATTAAAAATTGGAACCTCAAAATTTTTGAGCCAAAATCAACTAAATTCCTTTCTTTTTAGTCTTTTCCTTAGTATAGCACTTCACTTCATTGTTTTTCAATCCCCACAAGTTAAACTTAAATTTATCCCTTCTTTGTGAATTGATTACACAGTAGATGAGTCTCCTCATTTGTATGCCTGTTTTCAAGGGCCTGATATAGGTCTTGTGTCCTGTTCCACCATGGCTTCTCCTGAGATGAGCTTCCTCAGGAGAGTCAATGATTGTGTAAAAGGCCCGATAAATTGACAGTTGTTATGGAGTAGTCTGGGTGGACTCAAGTGACTGGATGAGACTGTACTCATTTATACATAGCAGTGATTTAATATTTCAGATGAATGAAATGTAATCTTATTGCTTACTACAAAGCAATATATATGCATTTACATATTATATATATATATATATGTCTTTGAAAGAATTGCAAACTTTTTATTTTAGAACTATATCAAACTCAAGAAAAGTAGGAATTGGTAAGGTTGATATTTCAAGTCAAGTAAACAGGTTTTTATTTTATTTTACTTTGTTACATGTCAACTTTATGCTTAATTCACAATGAAATTTTCAAAATCAGTGACAGTAAATTTCAAAAGCTGCTCATTTTTGGTCATTTAAAAATTTTATAAGCATGTATTAGTATTACATGTAGTTCTGGGATTTATTTTTTCCACATAAAACTATCCATGATAAACTGTCTGCTGGCAGGTATTGTGTGAACATTCCATGATGACTTGTGACCGCAGTGATAAAATGAAGCATGTCTTGTCTTCTATTCCAACTGTCAATCAGAGCCACGTGTCACATTTGTGAGTAGTTCGGACATTGTAAGTTTCCTATCAAAGTCCTAAGAGATGGGAAATCTGAGAAGCCACTGTAGAAGGATGTACATACTGAGGTTCTGAATGCTGCTTTTATGCATGGGACTGCTCTATCTTAGTCTATATTACTCTTTTTTTTACATTCTGTAATATCTTTATTCTTTAAATTTAATTGCCAAAGTGATGTGCAGAGGGGTTACATTTATATCCATAAGGTAATGAATACATTTGTAAATGTTACAAAATTTCATTAAAATATTCAATCTTTATTATAAAGTTATGAAACTAATTTTTAAAATATTTTAAAATTCTAAATATTGTAGTTTTCCAATGTAGAGTTTGTAAACATCTTAGAAGAGAAAAGATAACAGGGAGCACAAATACACTGCCTTCAACAGGTGAGGGGATTCATGATACTAAATATAACAATGTCAGAATTTGAGATGTGGCTTAAAGACTAGACTGCCAAGCTTGAGCATAAAAGCCAAGGGAGACTAAAGCATCATGAATTGAAGGCTAAGTATCAGCACAAACACAAGGAAAAGGTGAATATATTAATAAAATTTCATGAAACATAGATTGTATATCATCTTCATGTAGATGTCCTTAGACATGGGAATCCAGAAATTTGGGGTGGCTTTTGAGCGTATAGTGACTAAGAGAGTACTGATAACTGTAGTGATGACAAGGAATTGGGTTATCATGACAGTGGAGTGGACACTGGGTGATGTAGGGAAAGTAGCTTGGGTATTAGTATTAGCATTCGTTTGTGCGAGTTATGAACTGTGGCAGTGAATGTGTATCTACAAGGGAGATCAACTTCTGCTGTCTTGTCCTGAGGCAGCTAGTGAAGGTGAGACTTACTGATCTCCTGGCTGGTGAGGAGGACCTGAGAAAGAAGATACCTGTCCCCAGCTGCCCTTGTCCCCTTACTTGTTCTTTCACTCAGCTCAGTAATCACCAGAAATTTGTCACCATCCTCCAAGCATCAGTTCAGTAGGACACAAGGCCTCTGTTAATTAGTTTTAACTGCTCATCAGGGATGATCAAAGAACAGTGAATTCTTGGAACAGACATCAAGTGGCAATTGGTTTGGGATGTTCTGAGTT